CCTGTTGTATCTTAAAATACAGGTTAATTATTGGTCTAATATCTATGTTTTGGCAAATTTGAATGAGTATGTCTCTTTATAACTGTGTGGTATATCCTACCATGCTGATCACTGGCTACACTGCAGATCCCGGATGCTGGGTTGATGTCTGAGTTGTATAGAGAGTAATTTCACTTGGTATGAGGAGGAAGAGTGGGTTGAGCCAAACAAATGTCTTTATTTGAGTAATTTCATACAGAATAGTGGCTTTTTTTGCCCACTCTCCCAACTACTCAAAAGCTTCCTGTGTTAAATATGTATTGCTTCTCTGTGAAATGGGTGGTGGTGTAGGTGTGGTCTGAAGTCATGACAGACATATTACCTGATGCTCTAGTCTTTGCCAAAGAGTAGTTTCTCTTCTTTAGAAACCTGTGTTGAAAATGGCTTTCACCATGGTACCCATGGGGCAGCACAGTGTCCTTGAGTCTGGGCAAGGGAGAAAGAAAGAAAAGAGCAGTTTGCATTAGAAACTGCTGTATCCTCCTGGCACCCCAGAGAGGAGGATGTAAGCTATGAAGAGAACTATACACCTGTGATCCATATACTTAATCATTAATACATTTTTGTATGAAAACACTTGTTAGGAACAATTTCATGTATTAAAGTGTGTAGGTGATTTAGCAGATACTTTAGATCTGCTCCTAGGTAGGTCATGCACAAACTTCTTCTAAAAAGCTGTGTGCATCTAGGAATAAAGGGGATGTGTGAACTGTGTAATTGCTTCCCAGCTGTGATGTCAGGCAGCACCCTCCTTAGACATGGAGATATGAGGCACACCTCTTTATCTCTGAGCACCCATCAACATGAAGGCAAACAGGTGACACGTAAGCCTCTTGGCTGTGTGCTAAAGAGGTGGTGCTAGAAAAATACTTCTACTGGAAGTTCTACCTCCAGTGTGCCCTACCTATTCCTTTAGCAAAGTTTGGGGTAAGTGGTATGCTTTACTTTGAATTGATGTGCTTGAGGACTGTCTGATTATGAGCATGTTCAGATTTCTTGAATTTTACACTGTGCGTGTGTGTCTGTACACATTTTTATTTACAGCTCAATGCTTTTTTTTTGCCTTGTGTTTTCATTTGTCTCTCTGTGCCTTCTGCATTTTTCATTCTCCCCTCCATCAGCTCTGTAGCAGCACACGAGTCCTGTGCAAGGACAGTTCAGAAAACATACTCCCTGTCCCCATGCTGCTCAGGGGAAATCCTGCATGCCAAATTTTTAATTTTTTTTATTTTTATACAGGAGCAACATTGCTATAGTCTTGAATTATTTATCACACAATAGGGTTGTGATATTTGTGTCCTGGAGGCAAAATTACAAACCTTTTAATGTTGATGCCTGGATGCCTTTTAATGTGAAAGTACCTCAGAGCAGGAAATCCACAGAACCAGAACTTTACTTGCTTAGCAGAGCATCCCTTCTTGGCAAGCCATGATCTGGTCCTGTGGAGGCTCCAGAGTGGCAGCTGTACAGGCACAGCTGAAGTGATGGCTCTGGGGCTCCTGTCAGCAAAGGAAAAGGCCAGTGGAGTTTTCCCAGCACTTGCTTATAGCTCCTGTCCATCTGCGTGCTAGGCAGAGTGCAATGCTAAAGAGGAATGTGATTGAAGGAGGGGTTTACAAAAGGCAAAGCCCTGGAGGGCTTGATGTGAGCCTGAAACTATCCATCTGTGAATTTCTTCAGCAAAGGAGCTCTTGCTCTTACAAGCAAGATTTGGGAATGATAATTGTTAAAAAAATTCAGATTATTTTTCTTTTGACCTAATTAATTCTAATTGTATCATAAGTTTTCTCTTGATTCTTCCTTTTCTACCTTCCACTCTCTTTATGGACAAGGTTTAGAATGGAAGGTGTGAAGCTATAAAGCCTAGTTTCTTATAAAAAAGCAAAATTGGAAGGAAAAAATGGGATGGGTTTTTAGTAACAGGGCTATGACTTTAAAAAAGGCCTCAGCAGCTTTCGCTATTGTTGAGTTAGGACCCCAGAATGAAACCAGCACAGCTATGAATATACTTTGCTGTGGATATATTTTTATTTCTGTTGTGTGGCACTGGATGTGTCTGGGCACTAGGACTGCAGGTCTTGGAAGTGAGGGTGGAGATCACTTTTTAAATATTTGTAGAGGGAGGAGGACAAAGCTTGACGCTGCTATGAAAATAGCCCTTTGCATGTCTCCAGGGGTAGGTTAACTGTGCAGGGTTTCACAAGAGCCACTCCCTGGAGATACTTGAATAATAGATTGACATTATGGGGTGCAGTGAAAGGCGTGTGCATTTCATAAGCCCAAGGAGAAAATTTCCTTCTCAAGCAAATCCTGTAGAAGGCATTTTTGTACCCTTCCTTTGGGCTCCTAGTTCTCTATCAGTCACTTGCAAATTGTATTTCTTATCAGCCACATGGAAAATTGAGGGTTAAGTGATTGAAATGCTGTGACGTGTTTGTCCAACTCTACAAATCACGTATGATGCTAGGGATGCCTTTAGGTTTTAATGCCCTGAGGTCCTACCTTGACCTTTCTGTTTTAACCAGCTTTCACCCAGCTGTGTCCAGTGGAAAGGTGCAGCTGAAGCATAAGTTTCTTTCTGCTTCAAGTAAAAGCTGTAGCACCCTTTCTTCCTCTGTAAGGTCTTGCACAGAGGGCAAGGTAAATTAGCTTCTTTTTACAATATCATTTAGCAGTGATTAGGTGGCACTATCATTTGTAGCTGTTATTTAAAAATATGTTCTATATACCTATATAGCTAGCTAACAAAATACCAACAAGGCAAGGCAAATACTTCAGTACATGTGGCATGCTAAAAAACATGAAGGTAGCTTGCCTTTTGATGATATACTAGTTGTAAGATTTGCATTTAAGCCTTTTAAGCAACAATTAGTTTAGGGGTATTTAAGCTGAAAGAACTTGAGTAGAGAGGGAGCTTATGTAGCCCTTTGCCCTTGGAGAAATCTGAGGGCAAAAGAAACACCATATACAAGATGGAAGTCTAAATCAAAGCCTTCTTGTTTGATTTTTAAAATATTTTTCCCTTTCTTCTAGTGCATTTCAATGAAAAGGCTTTGTAGAGCTACAAGGTAGGCAATCTGATTTTACTTTTTTTTTTCCCCTTCCCCAAAGAGGGAGAGGATTAAAAAAAACAAACAAAAACCCAAAAAGGCCTTTTGCTGGTATGTGAGATTGTGTCTAATGGATGAGGTTTTTAATTCTTCTAAAAATGTTTTATGTCAGTGTGTGGCTGCCTGTTCAACTTGCTTACTTGAACATGCTGCTCCTTCAGACCTGCCTGGTGGATACACTTCTGCAGTTGTGGTGTTTTTATGTAAAAAGCTCACTGATAACTATTACTCTGGGGTGTTGTGGGTTTTTTTTGTTTGTTTGTTTGTTTCAGTCTTTTATTCTATTGTAAAACTTTGTATTAAAACCCAGCAGTGGAAGTGAATTAGCTGGCATGGCAGTGAATGTGGACTCTGTCACCTAAAACCCTGCAAGGTTTTACTGTCCTTGATGGCATCACATAGGATATGCCTTGGCTGGGAAAAGGGAGACTTCAAAACTGGAAATAGCAAGAAAGTGTCAGATACTTTCCACTGCCTCCTCAGATGGAGGGTATCTGGGTGTTGATCTAGCATTTTCTGTGTTAGATCATAGGAAGTCCATGACTTATGGCTGAGTCAAATGATCACAGTTCTGTCTTACAACTAAGAGCAGTACTGGCATAAGGGTGAAGCTTTAAAGATAGTTACGGTTTTAGCTTAATGGTGGAGATTTATGCCCAGATACTTGAGGTACAGAGTTTGTTCCAAACATCAAGCTGTGAGTTGATATTCAAGAAATGAATTGGTGTTTTGCCATTGATGCAAACTACTGCAGCACTTGACTTGAAATGAATAATCTTACCTAGTTCAAGCTACAGAAGATTTAACTTTTAAAAATATTTAATAATCTAATTTTTTGTGATTTGATATCAATTTCCTTCCTTCATAGGAGGTGATTTAATGTCAGTTTTGTGTTGCTTTTAGGATAGTTATATTAAGCTTGTGTGTGTGTGTGTGTGTGTGTCTTTGAACACAACATTAAGCAGCTCTCTACTGTTTGTTTAGGGGTAAGAGAGGCTCAGCAGCTACTCAACAGGAATGTACTAATGCACTTAACATCAGCCTTTCTAGCATACCTGAAATTTGCCAGTGATTTTTGTTACACGTTCCAGCAGTTACTGAACTTTGGTCAGACTGTATCTAATACGGTTATTTTTTCAAAGGTTCAAAAAGAATTGAGATAAATTTATTCAGTGTGTACTGGCCACTGGAAAACGAGTGTTGTTTAATGGCAATTAAGGGTCTAGATTTAGTTTAAGTTATTAACTAGCATAATGATAAAAACTTTTTTAAAATGTGCTCTGGACAAAACAAAAAGTGCAACAAAATCAAGCAAATGTCGCTTGGTTATTTTTCCTTCTAATTTAAAACAAACTTTTCCAAGACTGAAAAATAGCTATTAATAGAAAAGTATTGTTGTTTTTATTTAAATACAGTGGGGAGACTGGATTTTTTTCCCCATATGTTAATAATGTCACAGTGAATGTGAGGTCATAATTGTATTGCTGATACATTTAAGTAGCTTTTGCTGACCTAAATGCAGATTAAAAACAGTTCTGCCATTCAGGTTTCAGATTCTTTCATCTTGATTTTCAGTCTTTCCTGAAGAAGATAAAATTACGTTGCCTTCTTTTCTCTAGTAAGAGGAATGTAATATAATTAACTATGCAGTTTTTTTCAGGCACAGCTGAATTTGATATTGAAAATTGGTATAATGCAGAGTTTAAGGTGAATCCAGTGTGAAAGAGTAAAGAACTGGTCCCATGCTTTGTAGTTCAAATAGTGATTTATATTTAAAACTTTTGTCAAAGGAAGCCAAGAAGCTTTGGTAGAGCTGTTGAGTAACTAATCCTTTTTGCTTTGCTTTTCAAGGTGTCTCCTGAATTCTCACTATGTCTGATGGGGACTATGATTACCTCATAAAATTTCTAGCACTTGGTGATTCTGGAGTAGGAAAGACCAGCCTTCTTTACCAATATACGGATGGCAAATTTAATTCCAAATTTATCACAACAGTGGGCATTGACTTTCGGGAAAAGAGAGTGGTGAGTCTTCATGATGCTACTTCAAAATAGTATCTGTCTTGGTGATGGCTAGAATCTGTTTTTTTTAAAAATCTGACCTGCTGGTCCTTGTGTGCAGGCATGCAATCAATAGTTACTATGTACTTAATCTGGTGACAAGGAAATGGTCTCATTTTATCTTGTTATTTTTGTAATTGTTCTGAGTCCCCCTTATTCTCCCTAAAGTTAAAGAGAGATGAGCTGATTCTAAGTAACTACTTCTTACTGCTTAGCAAATGTTGATGAGTGCACCTACTGCATGGGTTATGCACAAGATACTTGGAGTAGCACTTTTCTTGTTGAATTCTTCACAAGGGCAGATCAGGCTGTATTAAAGTGTTTTTGCTGTTTTTGAACTGAAATGGCTAGTGAACAAAGAGTGCAATGTTGATTTGAAGCTGTTTTAAAACATGTGAATGAAATGGGACGGAGCTGAACTGGCTCCCCCAAGTTCAGCAAGTTTTGTGCATCTCTAAAGATAATGGTTGTAACTCTGATGCTCAGTACAACGACAGTTGAAGGTAAAGATGATGATCTAATGTGAAGTGTTCTAAACTAGTGAATATTTTTATCTGAGCCTTCCAAAGAAAACAGATGTCCTTATTTATATTTTCACAATGAGTAAACTCTTCAACTTTTATTATTATCATCCAATTTCTGCTTTTTAAGCTATGATATGATAAGATCTACCCTCAATTCTTTTTCAGCAATGTTTTGGCAGCTAAGAAGAGATGTCATTATCTTTATGAGTAGGTTGTTTGCCAGTAAGGTTCTGTTAGTTGTACAAATATATTGCCAGATTGCATGATCAGATTGTTGCTTTCTTATAGTAATATTTTAATTTGAACATGATACAAGATAATAGAAAAAGAAGAAAATAAAAATATTCAACCAAAATGTTCAACCAAATGAGAAATTAAAATGCAACCTCTATTACTTTTGTCTTAAAAAACAGAAGAATTGAATTGTTGTTGGGAACTTCGCATCTGCACACTAGTTTTGTTGTATTTAATGACATTAAATGTCAGTTATTTTGTGTTCTATGGAGGCTGGACTGCTGACACTAAGTCTTGCAAATTCACCTTTTACAGGTGTATAGACCCAATGGGCCAGATGGCATTGGTGGCAGAGGACAGAGGATACATCTTCAGCTCTGGGATACTGCAGGGCAGGAAAGGTATGTTCCACCCCCATCCTAGCAGGTAAGGTAGTTGTCATCAAGCTTAGATGCAAATGGAACATGAATTCTTTGTATTGATTCCTACATTTTAATTGTATGACTTAAGATAGGAAAATGTGCTTACTTTAACAGTGATGTGAGGTTTCGTATGAATACCCATTAAATTACAACTGGCTTTTTGTGTTTTGAAATATTTAAATTTGTTTTTTAATAGATAATGCATATAGATGCTTTTAAAGCTTTTTCTTCTTTCAGTTTTCCTTATATTTCTATAAATATGTTGAGATCTTGGGAAAATCAAGACAAGTGAAATCACCTCAAAGGATTCTTTTCTATTTGTCTACCAAAAGAGTAGCAATCTAGTAGTTGATAGTCTTAAAAATGAAGAATTGATGCAAATAGGGGACAAATTTCTGTTCTAGGTTTGAATTTAATTTTTACTTTAATTTCTAAATCTTGATCAAATCATGCTTTGTAGCAGAAGACTGTCATGCTTCAGTGAAATGTTTCCTTGACTTCCTTCAGCCTTGAGTAGGCCATAGTAATGTTAGCAATTCTGGTTATTTACAGTCCCTAGCATCAGCAAAACAATTCTGATGAATATTTCATTCTAGTTAAGTTACCTCAGTTTTATGGCTGTATGTAATTATATTTTCAAAGTAACTTTTCAGGTGAGCCAACTAATTTAACTTTGCTGGTCTAGGTTTCGCAGCCTGACAACAGCTTTCTTCAGAGATGCCATGGGGTTTCTTCTACTCTTTGATCTGACAAATGAGCAAAGCTTTCTAAATGTCAGGAACTGGATAAGTATGACATTTCTTTATTTTTTCTTTTTCCTTTCTTTCCTTGCATGGGCAGGGAGGGGCCTATATTTGTAAGTAGGGGGTCTTGGTGAGAAATAGAACTGAAAATACTGGGTTTTTTAATAGCTTTCTCAGGAAAAGAAGTAAATGTTGTACTCATAGTTGTAGTAGCTGCTAGTGGTGGCTTCTAGTGCTTACCTGAAATTCAGCTTTGCCTACTGAACCTATATAAAGGCAAGCTGAAAGACATATCTCATCCCTGGCTCTGGTGATCTGCAGTAATTTAAGTGTGTGGAAAGCCTATGCAAAACTCTGTTTTGAATCACCTGAAGCTCTGTCAGCAAAACTTAATGGAAGGCAACCCTTACAAGGCTGGTATATCTAGGCAAAAGAGTTCCCAAACTCTCCATCAGGAGAGGGAAGTATATCCTTTCCTGGCAGCTCACTGAAGATGCTTGGTGAGCATAATTCCTTAAGATACAAGTACACAGGTTCAGTGTTAGCTTTGCCAGGCTTTTTCCCTGGGTACATCATGGTGGATGTTCATCTGTCCTCTAGCTCCTCTGTGAGATAACAGAGAAATACTTGTTTTCTGTCCTTCCAAGTTCTGAAGGAGTTTGTGTCCCCTGAAAGGTGGTAGTATTCTTTGTGAGCTTTGTGTGTGACAGTAAGTTGTGACCCCTCTCCATCTTGCTGACAGGTCAGCTACAAATGCATGCATATTGTGAAAACCCTGACATTGTATTATGTGGAAACAAGAGTGATCTGGAAGACCAAAGAGTGGTGAAAGAAGAAGAGGCTAAGGAACTCGCAGAAAAATATGGGTATGTAACTTCCAACTTCCTTCCAGTTATTGCTGTGTTTAAAGCAGAATGAAATATTCTCTGTAATGCCTTTTCTGTTTAGTGAAAGGTTTTTGTGAGAATAAGCATTTTAGAATGCTTAACTGGCTGGTATGATTTTTTTTTCCTGTCAGAGATTAATGTTTTCTGCATTGTCTAAAAATTCCTACTTAGTATTGCAATAATTTTTCACTAGAGATTGGTTAATCTTCTTTCCTTGGCAGGAAAGTAGATTTTTGTAAACAGTCTGGAAAAGAGATAGAATTTAGCTGGAGAGGCAGAGGGGTCTAATTCTATGCTCTTGCCTATGCCTGAGCATAACTTTGGGAACTCATTCTGACAAGTGCCTCTGTAAATTGTGGACTCAATGATGAAAATGAAAGCTTATCCTTCTGCCCTACCTACAGAGTCAGTCATTCCATTCATTTGTTTTGTATTTCAAACCTCTGGGCACTCAGTGTCTTTCTTAGTGAAGTAGCAGTAACAGCATTTGCTTGACTTATAAGTGGCAGTAACCATGTATTGGTTTTGCTCCTGTTAATATAAACTGTGATGCAAGTTTGTGGTTTCTGTCTTCTGCAGAATTCCATATTTTGAAACCAGTGCAGCCAACGGGAATAATGTAAGCAAAGCCATTGAAACCCTGCTTGACCTCATCATGAAGCGCATGGAACGGTGTGTGGATAAATCCTGGATCCCAGAAGGGGTGGTGCGCTCCAACGGGCACAGCTCTACGGAGCAACTCAATGAGGAGCAAGAAAAAGGCAAATGCAGCTGTTAGCTCAGTTACAATTACATGTAGTGTCTATTCTAAAGTATAGTACAGTTGCAGCTTAACTGTTTAACTTAGGGACAAATCACATTGTGTAGTTATTTAATGAGCTATACTCATTCTTGATACTCTTTGCTTTTTTCCTCTCAAGCAACATTGGCCTTTGCTTACAGGGTATGCAGTTTATGAGTGATGGGACAGAAGTTCAATTTGGTGTAGCACTGGATATTTCTCTAATTCTCTACCTTGGAGGGAAGGGTAGGAATTGTCATATCAGATTTAAAGCATCTCTCTGTATGGGCAATTGCCCTTTGCAGGCTCCATTAACTACACAGACTAGGCATTCAGATTTTAGGTATTGGGACTTCTCTTAGTCTCTACTAACAGCAAGTTTACCAGCATGGTTCTTGGTTTTGAACAGAACCATTTAATCATTTCACCAATCAGTAACAATCTTGAAGAGCAAATCCTGTGTTTTGAACAAAAGCCTGCAAGTAGCTTTTCCTTCCTCTCTCAAACCATCAGTTTTCAGAGATGAAAAACAAAAGAAAGCCTTTCTATATGGAATAAAAAAACTACAGAGAAACACAAAGGTGCATATGTAGGGCACTTTGGATATGTCATGAAAGTGAACAGGTAAGCTACAACTGTACTATATAAAATATATCCAGCACAGCCATTGAGACCTCCTGACATAATTTGAATTTCTAGAACATGCATATGTGTGTATTTATATGTAAATGGCATAACTGTACATCAGTTGTTATGTTACTTTTATGTTACCACTCACGTTTTAACTGGAATGTAGGTTAACTTAGATGTCAGCAAAATTTCATCAGAGATAGTGCTTTGCACTGAATTTGCTTTACTGAACACAGATTTGGAATGTTTCTTCAAACCTGGATTGAAAAATGAATTGTGATTTTCTTCTGATGAAATGCAGCTAAGATACCAATTCTGTCTAGATCAGTATTTCTATAAATTTATATTGCTAATTTTATTCTGCCAACCTTTGTGTCCTGTTACTTATCATATATTCATTTATGGCTTGTTCATTTCCTTTAGGTTGTATTTAAAAAATAATAGAGTTGCTCCTCTTATATTCCTTCTACAGATCACCTAAATGCCAGTTTTGGTTTCAGTGGATCATGTTACTCTTTGGTAATTTTTATTTATTCAAACAACCTAAGGAATAATCAGTATTTTTGGGTCTTTTTTCCAGACTGATTTATAAGATGTGCCTACCAAACAATTTTCTAACCTGTATCAGAGTAAAGTATTGCCAATTGAAGTAATAACATGCGAAATTAATTATTTTTATGGACTTTCCACAGCAGTTTGTTTACAAAACTCCAAAGCTATTACTTCTTTAGAAATTATGTATTTATTTATTTAAATAGTCTAACTACTGCAGTTTTAGGCAAACAGTGATAGATAGCACTTGTGAACATGAATTGCAGCATAACAAATTTTTTGAAGGACCAAAAATGTTTCTAAAATAGGCACTAACAAAAAATATATTTGATGTAGACTCTGGTTATATTAATAAAGCAAGAATAAGTGTTAAAACTTGGTTCTTACAAGATTTTGCAAAGTAATGCATTGTTCTTAAAAAAACACAATATGTAAATACTAGATTTTTATCACAGCCTACACAGAATATTTTTAAAGTGCAATATAATTTGACTGCTCTGGGGCTAGGACAGAGATTAAAATGATTTATATTGAATAAATATAGGGGTTTTTCTACTGTACAATACCAAGATTCTAAACTGGTTGTGGACCGGAGTTACTGTAGTTTTACTCAGAGTGCCTTTTGAAGTTCCCATGGGGTTTCTGACCAGCAGAGTATCAGACTCTGCTCTAGGACACAATACATTTCCATGTACTTCGGTGTCCGAACTCTTTACTGTAATTCTTTGCTTTCCAGGGGGTTGCAGTGGGACTTTGTAAAGCATTACCTTTAATGGGAGTTTTTGTGCTCCATCCCGTTCCTGCAAACAGTGAGGATTATTGCAACCAGCTACAGAGCTAAGTGACTACTGAAATGGTGTGAAAATACTTCCTTTTGAATACTTATGTTTAGATTGGATATTAAATATTAAATGGAACTGTCATATTTTTGTCATACATATTATATGTAACTATTTACTGTATAAAGAGAGTCTACATAAAATTGCTTTGATGTCAGCCTTTGAAATGTGCCATAAGATTTTATTTGGTGGCCAAACTTCTGTTCCCTTTTTAGGTCTCATGAGAAGTCATGGTAAATGTTTCTTGACAGTGGATTATGTTATTCTTACTAGTCTAGCACTGGTTTTAACAAAGAAACAAAGGAGAATTCTCATGTGATGAGAAACTGTTATTTCAAGAATTGTTTCCATCCAGTGTCAGATGAAAATGTAGACCTCTTGTGGAACAAAGTTTTGGAAATTATTTCCATTATGATGTTTTGTCCCAGGATTTCTTAATAATATAAAATAGTTAAACATTCCTGATGTGAACCTTGTCAGCATTTGTTGAACTGATTTGTAACATTTCCTCTTGCCTCAGTGCAATTCAGTCTTTGTCCTTCTGCACTGTTCTTGTGCATTGTGGTGTTTTTAGTTCAAGTGTGTCTAAGTTCTCTTCTGTGGCCTAGGTACTTTTTGATGTTCCACTCTTGCACTGAACAAATCAGTCGAATGGGGGCCTGATGCTTCCTGGGTGATGCCAGAAGGAGCTCAAACCTATGGAAGGAAATAGAGGCAACACTTCTGTACTCCTAAGACATTCAGAAAGTTGCTAATGGGAGTATGTAGCATGTTCAGAGCAAAGTGAATCAAGCAACACATGTAAAGTCTATTGCTTCTACAAAGGTAAGGAGCCTGATTTTTCAGAATAGCTGCTTCCATCAAAAGCAGTGTAGACTAACAGGTAGGTTATGGTAAACTAGAGGACACAGCTGCTATTCAGAGGTTCCTTGATGGGCAAGAGAAACGAGCTGAACTAAACCTCATAAAGTTTAAGGAGGGCAAGTATGACTGGGAGTTCCATCTGGGAATGGGTTCAGATAACCCCATGCAGTGGTACTGACTGAAAAAATATTTTACAGAAAAGGGGATGGGCATCCTATTCAAAAGCAGGTTGACTAGGAGCCAGAAGTGTGCCCCTTTGGCAAAGAAAGCCATATGCATCTGGGGCTGCATTAGTAAAATGAAGCCAAGTGGGTTGAGGGAGTTTTCCCATATATTGAGTAATTATAAGGTTGCATCTGGAGTTGTGTCCTGTTTTGGACACCCCAGTAAAAGAAAGACATTTACACACTGGAGTGAGTCCAGCAGATGCCACCAAAATCAGAGGGCTGGTACATGAGGGACAGGAGAGGAGAGAACTGGATTTGCTTAGCTTTAAGAAGAGAGAGCTAAGGAGGAGTTTTCTGCTGTCTTGAACTATCTAATGGGAGGGTATACAGAAGATGGAGACAAACCCTTCTCAGAGGCACAGGGATAGGAAAGAGGCAACAGAGAAAAGTGTAGAACATTCTGCATAGACACAGCAAGAATTATCCCCATACAAGTAGTCAGAAATTGGAACAGAAGCCAAGGAAGGTTGTGGGGAATCTCTTGAAAATGCTAAAAAAACTCAACTGGGTGTGGCCCTGAGCCACCTGGTGTTAATCTGTCCTGCTTCGAGCAGGATTTTGGCCTAAAGGGCTTCCAGAAGTGTTTCCCAGACAATATGCTCTATGCTCTGTGAACCTAATCTTACAAATGCACATGCCTGACAGTTGTCATTTTATGTCAACAGTCATTTTATATTACTGTATATGGTAGTTTATATGAACTGTATATGACAGTTCTCTTTTATTAGAAAACTTGGACAATTATGTAAATATTTGCACATCAGAGCTTTGCTATGAGCGTAAGGTACTGAGTGGTTTGATGAAATAATTCTTGCTGTGTTAATCTGTGTAAAAAATCAAGCAAATGAGCTGCTCAGTTTGTTGCAAAAACCTCTTCTTCCAGCAAGACTGTTTTTCAGCTGAATACCTAATTCAGCTGTCCGTGAACAACTGTTAAAGGAGTAGAAGTATATATTCTCTTTTGATAATAATCTGTATTCTGGCTCCAGCAACCTTCAATCTATATTGCCTTTTAGATCAGGAATAAGCACTTCAAGCATAATGGCTTGTACTTGAAGAGGAGATCATTTCTCAATATGAAAAAAGGAGTGGGGAGAAATGCAACTGTAAATGCTTGTGGTATCACTGCTCTCACATCCCATCTGTCTGCTGGAGGCGTTGGTGACCGTCTGTAATCTACACTGTTCAATTGTAGAAGCCACCAAAGACTTCACAATCCAGTACTCTGCCAGGATAAAAAAGCTGTCTTCAGTGAAATAAATACTGCCCGTGGGGAAAAAAAAAAAAGTCACATTGGGCAGGAAACTCAAAGTAACAAAACTGAAAAAGCAGGATTGCAATTGCATATGCTGAGGCACAGCAGCCCTAGACCTAAGCAGACTTGTTTACTATTTATTTTGCCTCTAGTTGTAAACTTGGCGTCTTCATTAGCTTCCCTCATAAAATTGCTTTATGTATGTGTGTCTGCTGCTTCCTGGGTTGCCATCTCCTGTCACAGCCACAGAGCTTTTCCTCCAGCAAGCAGTGTGAGACTAACACCCTGTGCAGCCCCATCTTGCTCTCTGTCGAGTCAGGAGCTGTTGGTGGTGACTACTAGTCACCCGTCATATGTTCCAGCCTGTGTCTCCTGCAATAGGATGTGGCTGAGGTCTGGTTTATAAAAAGATTGGAGACAAGTTCTGTGCTGATAAGGTTAGTGACTCTACTGTGTGAAAGCAGTTTTTTTTTCTTTGTTTCATCTTAATACAGCCCCGAGCTGACTGCCTTTTTTCTTGTTCTGGAAACCAGAAAGCAAAAACTGTCCTAAGGCAAATGCAATTCAGCACATGATTTTTTTACCAAATGCTCATTTAATTTTTTTATTTTTTAAATAGAGAAGCAGGAATTGTGATGATAAAGCCTTATGTG